GGAACCTTTCCTTCCTTTATTCTAGGTGTCTGGTATTTTGTCTCAGTTAAGGAGAGAAAAGTAACCAAGACACTGACCTTGACCTGAGGTCAGAGGACACATCCACTGGGACTGGGTCACACCCCTGAGAGTAACTCGTGCAAGCATTTGCTGTTTTTATGCCTCCATGCAGGCAGAGCAGCCTGAGCCCCTCTGATGGCCAGACTCTGCCAGAGCCTACCCACTGCCCTGTCCAGGAGAAAACAGGTTTGAGCTGGTCATAACATGTGGTCTGACACTGACACTGCCAACCCTAAACCTATCTCAGAATTAGAATAATAGGTTCTATTACAATTCCACGTGGTTTTCTGCTCAGTATCACTACACTCTGAGTGCTTTGTTCTCCATAGCCCCACTCCGTAGCAAGGTGCAGGGTTCTAATGCATGTACTCAGAGCCTTGAGAGGAGGTGGTCACCGCCAGACACAGCCTGATTCTCCAAGACTGGGCTGGTGCCCAGTAGTCACCCAGCCCAGATCACTGCTGGGCACCTGACAAAATCTAGCTAGTCGGAAGAGAATCAGCATTTCCTGATCTCTAAACTAAGTCCCGGGTTTTTCACACATTCACCCACCCTAGTGCGAAAGGTCTGATGGCAAGGATGGCCACACCAGTGTCCTGCTCAGGGACACCACAGTGCTGAACTGCTGCCGACCGTGGGCCACGCCTGAGCCCCAGTATTTCTCTCTGTCCAGGCTATGAGGAGTGACATAAGCACTTTAAAGTCACTTCTCTACGACCTGTCAGCTGCCCCCACTGCAACAGGAGCAGAAGTAACAGGTGTGACCTCTGGGTACACCCTTAGCGGGGCAGGGGGTGCCTGCCCACCTCCAACACCCTTCCCTCCATCCGTGTGGTGGGTGGAGCTCTAACAAGCGTGGTGGACCATCAGGTGACCTTGAGGATGGATGACCCTCACAGCCAAGCAAAAAGCAGAGGGCCCTGAGCCTCAAGACTCCTAGGAGGCCTGGACCAGCCACCTATGGATCAGTCACCATGGGGCAGAAGCGAGAGATGCTGTCCTGAGACCTTATTTTGCTTTTTTCTCATGTGCCCAGCCAGACTAATCCCAACTGGATTCCAACCGGCACCAAGTCTTGGGCAATCTTGTTCCACACATGGACCCCTGATGTTTTTTGTCTTTTGTTTTATTTCCGGGGCTGAGGAACAGAACAGGATGCTTGGAGACTGTCCTCCACTGAGCCGCAGCCCAGCCTCCCTAACTACTCTCAAATGAATAGCTGAGCAAACACAGAAATGTCCTCCTTTCTAAGGTTTTTGCCTCTCTGGTTTCCTGAACAGGCTAAACCAGCAAGGGCAGGTGCTGTCATCTGTTCAATGTCGCTGGAGCGAAATACCTGACCCCAGTGACTTCATAAGTAAGGAAAGTGGCTTGGCTCACAGCTTCGGTGGCCAGAGGACCAAGGAGCAATGGGATGGGTGACTGCCCAAGGATCCAAGGCGCAGTGACCCAGTCTCCTTTCACTAAGCCCCAACCCGTCAAAGTCCTCCCCCAGCGCCACCACTCTGGGGCCTGAACCGTAGGGTACCGGCCACACCCCACAACTCATCAGCTGTACGGTGAGGTTACTGTTTCAGCAACTGGGGGCAGCACTTTCCTTCTCTGGGGTGCACTCCCCGCTTTGTGGCCAGTGGGAGAGCTGCCACTGTCTGGGGGCAAAGCTCACACCAGGGGCGAGGAGGACCGTGGCCTGTTTGCAGGGCTTCCTGTCAAGGCCGGGGAAGGCTGGGTCCTGGCCCAGGACAGGACAGCACAGGCAGTGTCAGAGACAGGGTCTGAGGTCCACTGCCAAAGAGGAAGGAAATCGAAGAGAGGAGCGGGGAGAAGACAGTGTCCACGGCTGCGGAGTCCAGGGAGCCCACCGCACTTGCCCGCCCCCGGTTACAGGGCTCCCCCTTCTCAGCTCAGCTCATACACATTATGCGTGGGCCACAGGCGGCCGAAGGAATACCACCTAACACATTACTCAGCACAGCACCTGCCTCAAGGCACCCGAGTTACCAGCTGCTCAAATAACTGAACTGTCTCCTACCTCTGCTCTCCTGCTGCGAGCGGGAGGAAAAATTCCAGTGCACAAGGAAAAACTCACATTAGAAATTTAGTAGAAACCAGGCGTAGTGGTACACGCCTATAATCCCAGCACTCAGGAGGCTGAGGCAGGAGGATTGCAGTGAGTTCAAGGCCAGCCTGGACTGCACAGTGAGTGCAAGATCATCCTGAACTTTAATGAGATGCTGTCTCAGGAAAACTACCAAAAAAATCATTTTCTTTTTACCATCCACAGCCAGTCAATGCCAAACACATGCAGGCTTACACCTGGGCTCTGGACCACAAGCCGGCAGTGCTGTAAGAAGGGTGCTCCTGGGGTCCTAGAATACAGCCCCCCATCAGCAAGCAAGCAGGAGGAGGACAGGTGAGGCACAGGTAACAGGGCTGCGATTCCTACCTGTGGGACTTCAATGCAAACGTCTCTGGGTGGGGGCTGTGGGTCCCCGCACTCACAGATGTGTGCCCACCTCTCCACAGTCCTCACCAATAAAGCCCTCATTGTCGCCACAGCATTGTAGGTGGGCAGGATCTGTGGCTCCTGACTGCTGTGGCCCACGGCCAATATCACTTCCTAATGACCCAGCAGAGCAGTCAACGCATCCATCGTCTGTCCAAAGGCTGGGCCTCGTGTCCACAGCTCCTGAATCCCTCCTGAGCCACAGAGGTGCAGCAATGGCTTCCTCAGGATGTCAAGCTCTAGGCCTCCGCCCACCCACCCCACGCACTCCTCCTCTCTCCCCAGGGCAGGTCCTAGAGCTGGAATTTCTGCTTCCCCCAGGAAGGCCAGGGACAGCAGGACTGCACTCTCAGCCCCTACTTTACTGCTGTGGAGCTGGCTGGACTTGTGTCCCTGCCCTAGGGGTCACAGCTAAAGGAGAAGAGGCGGCCAGAGAGGCCCTGAAGAACCTGGACTGACATGGGCAGAACTTCTTGACGCCAGCTGGGGTCAGGTGGCAGCCTTTCACCCCATCCCATCTCCGTGGCCTTCCATGGCCCTGTCTCACCTGCAGGGCCTGGGCCTCACACACACCCTCGGGGAAAGCGGGGTCCAGAGGGGAGAGGAGAGACCAGGCCTTCCAAGGTGCCCCAGGTGGCTCTCATCTGCCCTTGCCCTGTGTCCTTCAAACTGTCACCGAGGCAAGCAAGCGATCCAGGCCTTTTCCCGAGCTCTGTGGGCTGCTCCAGCAGTGCCTGGAGTACAAGCAGGCCATCTTGGGCGCCTCAATCTGTGATCCCGCGGGAGGAGAACCCAGGCCTGGGCTTGCAGCTGCCACCCTAAACGAGGGCCAAGTGGGGAGTGGTCCCTCCCCACTGCCCAAGGACCTGCCCTGCCCACCTTGTGTCTGGTGGCTCTGGCTGCCACCTACTAATGGAGACACACAGAGGTTGGGATCACAGACCTCACTGCACAGAGGGCAGGACCCACAGGAGGAGGGCTGAGGCAGCTCCTCAAGCTCTTCAGACAGCCCCAGATTCTTAGGTGGGGCCCCTGGGCCCTCCAGGGATGGTGTTTAGAGATGGGGCTTCCGGAAGGCAGGCAGCACGGACGGGGGGGGGGGTCCAGGAGTTGATCCATCACCCTCTCAATCCCTACATCACCACCAAGTGCTGAGGACTGAGCGTCTGTGGCTGAAGCCTCTATTGGTGATGCTTTGCTGCTGCAGCCTAGGCTGAGCCAGAGCACAGGGTCCAGCCCAGGTATCTCTGGGCCTCGGGTTTCAGGAGGACGAAGCCACCAGGCTGCTTCAGCAGGGCAGCACCCCTCCCTGGCCATGCCCCAGACAAAGAGGACCCCATTGGCAGAGCTCAGCCCAGAGTAGAGTGAGCCCACGGAGTAGAATTAGGAGCTGGGTCCACACGGGTGACCTCGGCCACTCAGCTCATGGGACAGTGACACCAGCAGAGACCACAGTGCAAAGCACAGTACATGTTTCATAAAAATAAAAAGATAAATACCATTTTTTGAGACAGGGTTTCACTTTGTAGTTCAGATAGGCCTTGGACTCACTATGTAGCCCAGGCTGGCCTCAAACTTGTGGTGATCCTCCTGCCTCAGCCTCCCCCGGTGCTGAGATTAGAGGCATGTGCCACCACACCAAGCTAAAAAGTATTTTCAACCAATTTCTTTGTAAAGAGGAAAGGAAGAAGGGAGGGGAGAAGGAAGGGAAGAAGAAAAACAGAATTGCAGAGCCGGGCTCAGATCCCACCTCCACGGTCCCGTAGCCTCGCACAAAAAACAGTCCTGACCTGACCTCACAGAGCTGCTTCAGATGGGGAAGGTGCTGGGGGGGGGGGGCGCCGCCGGGGGCAGCGGCTGGATGGGCTCTGGCACCTCACGGGTCCCTCTTCCCCTCCCAGCAGCGTCTGCACTGCTTCGCCTCAGCCTCACCCTGCTCCCCACAGGGTGCTGAACCCAATCTCAACCCGGGTCCTGGGCAGGAGCAGCCAAGAGGCTCGAAACCTGCTGGGGCCTCCTCAGGAGCAAGGGTGCCAGCAAGGGCTAAAGCTGAGGTGAAGGAATTTCGGGTGGGCCCTGAGGTACAAGGACCTGAAGTCACGCTTTGTGCCCTCAGGCTTGGTCATCTGACGACACCTGGGCACCCATCAAAAGCAGATCTCAAGCTGGGGGAGGGCACCCATGCAGCCCCAGCACTCGGGAAGCTGAGGCAGGAGGATTGTGGCAATTTCCAGACCAGCCTGGGCTACATAGTGAGTTCAAATCCAGAACTACATACAAGACCCTGACTCAAAAAACCAAAATAAATAAATAAAAACTTAAGTAAGTACATTTTTAATTTAAAAAAAGCAAACCATGCCCCACTCCATCCACCAGCTCAAACATCATGCTCCTCCGGAACACCCTCAGAGAGGCGCCCCAAATGATGCTTTACCAGTTCTGCGGGGACTCCTCAATCCAGCCAAGCGGACACCATCACAGAGGTGAAAGATCTTTACACTGAAAAGAAATCGAAGAGGACGTGAATACATGGGAAGAGGCCCCGCGTTCACAGGCTGAAATAATTCACAGGTTAAAATGTGCATACAGCAGCCGTCTGCAGATCACCGCTATCCAAACACCACATTCTTCAAACAAAGGAGAAAATAATCCTGAGACTCACTCGGAACCAGTCTCCATCGCATGCAACAGAGCTGGAGGCATCAAACTTCCCAGCTTCAAAACAGCCTTCCCCTCGGGGCAGACACAAGGAGAGTGACTCTCCCACCACTGAGAGCCCTGCCAAGGGCCAGGGCAAACCCAGGGGAGTCTCACTGCAAAATCGAAGAAAACACAAACTCGAGGCCCAGCGCCTGCACAACTTCCAGGAGAAAATAGATGGGTGGAGCTCTCTGTCACTGGCAGGCAGGGATTTGTTTTTATTTGACCACAAAAGGACAGGCAATGAAAGTAAAATAGATAAATGAGACTCCTTAAACTCAAGAGTTGCACAGCAAAGAAAGCCATTGACAGAGTGAAAAGAAACCTACAGAACAGGAGAGAATATTTACAAATTAAAACATCTAGTAAGTAGCTGACACCCAAAATCTGTAAGGAAATGGGTCCAGCAGTAAATAAACAATCCAATAAAAAAAAAAAAACAGGCGAAAGACCTGACCAGATGTTTCTTACAGGAAGACACACGAATGTCCACTGGCTATCTAGAAAGGCTTTGGGTGTCACTGACCCTCAGGGCAGGGCAAATCGGAAGCAGAACAGGATTCAGATAGTGAAGAGGTAACCCTGACTCTCTGCTGTGGGCTGTCAGTCAGTTCCAGCCATTCAGGAAACCAGTACCAAGTATCCTCAGAAAGTTATAACCAGCTGGGCGTGGTGCTACACACCGCTCATGCTAGCACTCAGGAGGCTGAGGCAGGAGGACTGCCTCGAATTCAAGGCCAGTCTGGGCTACATAGAAAGTTCAAGACCAGCCTGAACTAACTACATAGTGACACCTTGTCTCAACCTAGCCCCCAGTAAGTAACTAAATAGATAACCAAATAAATGTTAAAAATATACTATGTGATCTAGCAGTCACACTACTGAGAGTATATAGCCAAGGAAAATGAAATCAGTGTCAAAGAGCTGTCTCTACACACACACATTTATTGAAATACTATTCACAAGGGCCAAGACACAAAATCCACTTGATAAATAGATAAAGAAAATATATGTGGTGGAATACTACTCAGCCATAAAAATGAAATTCTGCTGTCTGGAACAACATAGATAACCCTGGCTGACACAGGCAGTGAAATAAGTGAGGCATAGAAAGAAGAAAACCCCAGGGTACCACCTGGAGATTTAAAAAGTCCATGCCACCCAAGTAGAGAACAGAATGGTTTTGCCCAGAGGCCAGGAGTCACAGAACTAGATCTGTATCAGTGGAGGCACAGACAGTGACGGTCAGACAGGGAGACACCAGGATCATTTACAGTGGGCAACCATGGCCCCTGGCAGGCCAGAAAAAGCCAGTGTGGACATTGAGGTTCTCGACACAAAAGGACAATGTCAGGAGATGACTCCTCATCATTAGCTAGCCTGACACACCCACAGACACCTGGACTTCGAAGTCTGCAGTGTGCACGGTGCACACTCACCACTGTGCATTTCAGTGTTTGAGCAGTGTGGTAGAGGGGTGAAGGGAGAGCTCATACTCAGGCTGCAGGAGACCCTGAGTTTAATTCCCATCACCAGGAAAAAAATGAAATGCATGTGTGGCACGGCCATTATTCGAATTTATTCAAATGTTTACTCCTGACAGATCAGGCTGATAGCGAATACATGCATTAAAATCAATACGTTCTAAGACAAAAGGCTTGCAGGACAAAGCATAAAGTCATATCTTAATGACACTGAGGCAAAAGAAGATTTGCTAAACAGAATCCAAAAGGCAACAACCATAGTGCAGCAGTTAAAACAGCTGGCGGTGACGGGAGGTCGGTGGCAGGTGTGTGGAGAACACAGCTCAGGGTCCCCAAGTCCAGGTTCTGGCCCCTGCCCCACGCACTCTCCCCAAAAGACCCTTTCCGTCAAAGACACCGTTAAGCGTTAAGCGAATACAGGTGCAACTTACACTGTGTCGAGAGGATTTCTGTAACACATATATCCAAAATAAATCAAGTTGAAAATCCTACAAGCCAGTAATAAAAATGCAGACAACCTAAGAGAAAATTTGGCCGGAGTCATCATCAGTTTTTCACAAATGACAAATGCTCAATAAACTTGCAGCAAAGTGCTTGACCTCTTAGGCGCCACAGAAATTCTACATAAACCACAGTGTCACTATACCACTACATGCCAACCAGAGTCGCTCAAATACAAACGACTGGCGGCTCTGAGAGCGGACAGAGACGGGGGACCGCTGAGACCTCTTTCCAGGTTGATGGAGAAAACCTGGTACAGCACCGTGGAAACCCATTCAGCTGTACCGACCAAGGATTAACATGCACACGTCTGTGGCCCAGAAAATTACTGTCTGCATATAACCAGCAGAAATGCATGCATAGGGACCCCAAAAGGCACAGCCGACAATGTTCATAGAAGGTCTTTTCACAGTAAACCAAAATCAGAAACTACCCAAACATGCATCAAAATAAAGAAAACTGAAGCGGTGGAAAATGACCCAGGAGGGGGGCCTGGGCTGCACCCACACACACTACACGCTGGTCCCACGAAGTGAGGCCAAAGAAATTAGAGCAAACAGTTACACACTGCATGGATTCTTCTACATAGCATTCAAAAGCAGCAGAATTTGCCTACAGTATAGAGCCTCGGCTTAGCAGTTAGTGTCGGTGAGAGGCGCTCGGCAGGTTTGGGGCAGCTGGTAATGTCCTGCCCTGGCATCTGGGTGCCAGTTACACAAATATATTCCCTTCATCAAAACTGAGGAACCTGTGTGCTTGGATGGTGGGTGCACTTCCATGCATCCTTAATTTAGTGTGCTAAGCATTCAGAGCTCTTTGGTCATAAACATACACATTGCAGGGACGAATTCAGAGGCCGACCTTTAGCCATTCACCCCCGGAAGACCCTAAATGCTGCCCCGCTCCAGGGTGTTTTATTTTCCTGTGCTGCCAATGTTGAACTGTGGATGCCTCACATTACGAGTGAGCTTCTAGGTCGTGCTTTTCCTTCAAACTTTTAATCCTTCCTTACGAATGTAGAGGAGACCAGCGCCAGTTTTTCGAAGATAGAAACAGAGAAGACAGCTAAAGTCTAACCCAGAAGCCAGCAGCTGCAGTCCCCAAATGGCACCACGAAGGCCACCACCCAAGAGCCCACCAGGCAGGGACACCAGGCAGGGACACCAGGCAGGGCTTAGGGCAAAGACGGTGTTGAAACAGAAGTCTGCGTCCTGCACCCCAAGGCCTGTGGCGTGGGGCTCCCACTGGAACCATCCTAAAGGATCAGACGACCAGGCAGAGAGGCGGCAGGACTGGCCTTGGCCCAGGCCTGCAGCTCAGCAGCATGGGCCAGTTTCTGAGAACCACACCTATAAAGTGAATAAAGGGAGCCACATAACTGGGAATAAATAACCAGGCTCGAAGGGCACCAAGGAAGGGCTTCGCAAGGCAACAGGGACCTCTGGGCAGAACACGCTAGCACCACGCCTGGCACCCCCCTGACTCATGGCCTGTGGGCAGCAGTCTCCGGGCGTCTCACCCACAAGCTGGTCACTTCCACGAGGCCACATCACACTGGCTGTGATGCTCACTTTTAGGAACAGCTTGAAAACTTTTGAAAACTTTCAAAATGCAATTTTTGTAGGGGCAGAAACAATCACCATGGGGCAGCTTCTGCTCTTATTTCAAGAAGCAAAACAGCAGGAAAAAAACACGGGTTTGCAATCACAGAAACATGTTTGGAGCCTTGGGTCACCTGCCGAGTTAGATTTCAACTGCTATGACAAAACACACAACTTACAAGGAGGAGAGGGTTCTCTGGGCTCATGATTTCAGAGTTGCAGCCACAGCGATCAAGCAGCAGAGAGAGGCCCATTCCAAAAATCTCCTTGAAGGGCCCACACGCCCGCTCACTTCTCCTCTTCCCAATAGGCACCTCCTGGAATATCCATCCTCACCCAGTGCCACCACCACGGCAGACCACGATTTCCGTGCATGAACCTCTAAGATCTAAGGCATGATGACCACCTGGCCGTCTGGCTCTTCATAACTTCATAACCTGGGGAGTCAGGTATGGAGTGTCCTGCCTAAAGGTGCTCTACACCAAGTTGCATCCCCAGAACTTTTTAACATTCATTTTGAGACAGCATCTTACTAAGTTATCCAGGTGGCCTGGAACTTACAATACTGCTGCCTCAGCCTCCTGGGTAGCCGGGATTTCAGGCATGAGCAAGGATTACTTTACAACTCTGACGCTCAAGGTCTCCCTCAATAAAAAGGATATACTAACCCCTGCCTACCTCTCAGGACTGGTGCTAGGTTTTGATGTGGAAACAAACGCTGAGAACTTGCATAGTCCGCATTGCACAGGAAACAGGAAGTAAGCATTAACAGAGCTGAGATTCAGTGCATCACCTCATCAGAGTTACAGCAAAAGCAACGGGCTCTTTCCCTCCATTCTGCTGTGGTTTTTGTGCTTATCCAGTACAAGGAAGACACAGCCCACGGGCTGGCCACTGCTAAGAAGTGATCCAGCATGAGTGACCCTAACACAAAAGCAGCCAAAAAGGACCATTTTTTCATAGCTCAGGGCTCTGCCACTAGAATGGCTAAGGCTGATCACTAATTCACAAAACAGAAGCTGTGGTCCGGTGTCCCGAGGGGAAAGTGAAAACCTGCCCACAATCAGGTGCCAGTACTGTTCCTGGTCCACCAGGTGCCTGGGCAGAAGGGAGAGGGGTTACAGGGTTCCCTGCCTGGGTCCCCTGCCTGGGTTCTGGGCCCAGCTCGGTGACACAGAACTGGGCCATGAGCTGGACAAACTCTCCACCACTC